TCAGTTTTCAAAAAATTAAAACCAAACACACTGAATCTACCACATCACCAACAGATCAACTCCATGTGTGATGTAAAAAATTCACTAAAGATGCAAAAAATGAAAAATAGGAAACAAAAAAGTTGAATTTTTTTTTAGTCATTAGTATATTTTTTTTTCAAATTTATTCATAAACATTATTACATTATCTAAAAAAGAAAAAAGTTTATTAAAGACAAAATATATATATATACTGACTCAAACACTTGTATTATCAATTCTGAAATGAAAAGTTTAATATCGTTTTTTTTAGTCTTTAGTGAACTTTTTTCGTTTTTTAGTTAAATTTGTTTTTATTTTTTTAGGTGCATCTAAGCTCGATACATCTATAATGTAATAATGTTTATAAATAAATTTGAAAAAAAAAGTTTACTAAGGACTAAAAAAAATTTCAATTTTTTTGTTTTCTATTTCTCATTTCTTGCATCTTTAGTGAATTTTTTACATCACATGTGGAACCGATGTGTTGGTGATGTGGAAAATTCTGTTAGTTTTTTGGATGGAAGTTAGTCTAGACGTAAAGTGGGAAGGATTGCAAACATGAAGGGTCAAAGTGAAAAAAATCAAACTTATAAAGGGCCAAAGTGGGAAGGATTGTAAACATGAAGGGTCAAAGTGAAAAAAATCAAAACTTAAAAAGCTAAAGTGGAAAGGATTGCAAACATGAAGAGCTAAAATGGGAAGGATTGCAAACTTGAAGGGCCAAAGTGAGAAAAATCAAACTTAAAAGGCCAATGTTAAAAATGGGTAAAACTTTAGGAGGGCAAAGTATAATTTACCCTTAATTATATATATACCCTTAATTATATATATATATATATAGCCTCAAAATTTTTCTCTCTCCTATGTGGCATATCTATTCTGTTCTTTTGTTTTTTTTAAGTGCCACATAACATACCATTTTACTTAATTATTTTTAAAATCTAATATTTAAAAGATTTCTACTTAATCTAAACTACCCATAAATAAATTTTAAAATAATTATATGTACCAAAAAATACTTTAATTAATTTTCTTCTACTTTTTTCACTTTTATTTAAGTATTAAATTTTTATGTTAAAATTAAATATATTTCTTTTTTTTTGCCTATCTTATTTATATTTTATTATTAATTTATATTGAGTTTCCTATTTAACATGAAATTGTTTATTAGGAAAAATTTATATTAAATTTAAAATTTATATACATATATATAATTATATATAATATGTACAAACAGTTTTAAAATAAATATTAAAAAAAAAATCAATACTCAACATAATTGATCTATCTATTTTTTTCTTCATCTAACCGCAACATACTTATATTTAATTTTTTAAAATAATTTTTTTCATAACTTCCATTCCTATATATATATTTTTTAAATTTCCAACTGAATAAAAAAATAAATAATTAGAATCACTTTTAATTGTATATTATTACTTTTCTTTCCAATTTAACTATTATTATTAATGTCAAATTAAGTATTTATTTTACTATGTTATAATTTAATGTCATATAATATCATTATATATTTATTTCAGTTACACTTTTATAGCACGATAGAGCTAAGATTATTAAAATGCACATAAATAATTGAAAGAAAATTATTATATATTTTTTTTAAATAACACTTTTATGGAACAATAAGATTAAGATTATAAAAATAAATAATTAGAATCATCTTGAATTTTAAATGATTTTTTTTCTCCATAATATAATCATCATAATATTATTACTTTACTATTTCAATATTTATATCTATATTATTTTATAAAATATAGAACTTTGCAAGTTTTAAAACTATCTAAAACTTTTCGTTTCTAAAAAAAACAAATATTTTGTTAACTTTTTTATAAAATAATTGTTAATAATTATCAAATTCAATCTATCTTCTTCATTTATTAAATTACTAAAAAACATTAAATGTAAAACTAAAAACACATTGCATTTATATCCAAAGTCTATATTATTATGTAAAGCCTATGCTTAAATTGGTCTAGACTTTCATGTTTTTAGTTCTTTAAAGATATTCTAATGTAATTACTTGTAACTTCTTACTTCATGTTACTGTCTAGATAACATCAAAATTTGTAACCTCTTGCAATACACCTTTGAATATGTATACACATGACTAAGTATATATCTATTCTATTATATAAAACAACACCATCAAATGTTTTAGTACACATCATCTTCTCAATACACACCACACACATTTTCAATTTTTTGATTTCTTCTCACTTCACACTATCACTTTTCAAAAAATCCTAAATTACCCCCATCTTCTTCAACTCTACATTCCAAACCCTAACCTAACACTAACCCTAACCATCACCGCCGGCCACCACTTTCACTCCAGCCTCCTACCCTTCTCGTACCACCGAACGCTGGCTGCCACCCCTCCTTAGCCCATCACTTCCGATAGCCCCCTAAAGCTTCGTGTTCTTCCGAAAAATCTCCATAACCATTGTTGCTCTTTATCGTTGCCCTCACTCCCAACCCCGCGGTTCATTGTCATCATCCTTCTCACCACCGCCAACCTTCATCTCTTGATCCCTAAACTACAATCGTCGTCCTCAGCCACCAAGACAATGGTAACTCCACCATCACGAACCACCTGCTTCTATATCGCCATCGCGATTTGTCTCCCCACCCTCTCCATCGCAACCCAACTCTTGTCCACCGCATGGAGAGAGAGAGAGAGAGAGAGAGAGAGAGAGAGAGAGAGAAAAGCTGAGGGTTTTCACATCTCAGACGAATGTGTGAATTGCAGTGGCAATGGCGACAGTAGAGAATAGAGGCGCGAGTTGCAGAGACAGAGGTAACAAAGAAGAAGGCTGGAATAAGAAGAGAGAGAGAGACAGAGGAGATTGAGAGTTGCCAAAGAATGAGGAGTTGGCACGACAGGGCCGGAAAAGGTGTCAATGGTGGCTGGTTGATGGTGTGGCCAAAGGGGAGTCTACTGGTGGATTTGATTTTAGGATTTTTGTCCAAAACGGTAATTTCATTCAAGGACCTAATGGTAATTAAAAAAAAGGGAATGGCTTCTGTCCAGTCCGAATCGGACTGGACTGTGCTGTTGGGCCCGTGGAGGCCCACCACGGGTCCCGTTTTGATAATCTGAACCGTTCAATGTGTAGAACTCGTCGAGTACTACATGCCTGTAAAAAATCACGTTGATCGGATATCGATAGCTATGTGATCAAAACAGATTTTTGTCAATCGTTAATTTATTTACCGTCCATTTTTTTTATACAAAACTAATTTGATCACATAGCTATCGATATCCGATTAACGTGATTTTTTACAAGTATATAGTACTCAATGAGTTCTATACATTGAACGGTTCAGATTATCAAAACGGGACCCGTAGTGAGCCTCCACGGGCCCAACAGCATGGTCCAGTCCGATTAAGGACTGGACAGAAGCCATGCCCTTAAAAAAAATTGGACAATGATGTGTACTAAGAATAATGATGGTGTGTAAATAGAATTACCCAAAGGTTTGGTTGAGTGTTTATGTCATGATTTTTTTATATTTCCAATGTGCCCCTTATAGCTATCTCAATATACCTACAAGAGCAATTAATACCTCTATATACCCCAAGAACAATTATAAACATACATATAAATAACAAAAAAAAACTCATAAAGATTGGCATATATAGAGATGAGAGATGCTTGGTGGCCTGAATTTATATAGTTTAAATGACTTAAATGTGCCAAAACGATGTCGTTTTACACCCAAAACGATGTCGTTTTGAGACATTCTAGCCATTCAAACCAAAAAAATCCGGACCACCTATCATTGTTGTATAGAGATATTCATAACTACCTCGTAACATAATAATCACTTTGTTTGGTTTTAATTTTTGAATTCTATTTTTTTGAAAAGTTCGGGTTTTTTTTTAATGAATTATTTTAATATTTTAAGTATTTTTTTTTATTTTTTAAATGCACTTAACTTACATGTACCTAAAAAGTAAAATATTTATAAAAATCAATAAATACATAAGAATACGAAAATATACTAAATTTTTATATTTTTTGTATTTATTGAATTTTTAAAATATTTTTTTTACAAATATTATATTTTTTAAGTATATTTATGTTATGTGTATTTAAAAACTAAAAAAATTATTTAAAATATTAAAAAAATTCAGTGAAAACAAAAAAAAAAATACAATTTTCTAAAAAGTGGATACAAAATTCTAAACCAAAACAAGATGAATGATTTTTCAATAATACACCATGTTTGTTTGGGCGGACTGGATTAGCATTCCCATGACTAATAGTCCTAGGACTACAAATCCATTGGATTATGTATCATATCTTAACTAATAGTCAAGTTTAAAATAATTAGTCTGTACTTCAAGGTCATGTTTGATTCACAATACTAATAGTGAGGTATTAATAATCCAATCAAATTAGTGTGGTATTAACTATCCCACCCCTACCCCATTACTAATAATCCTACAAATTTGTTGGATTAATTATCCATTGGATTAATAGTCCTAAACCAAAATGTCAAAACAAACATAGGATGATTGGGCCCACGGATTAATAATCCTAATCCCATGCTTTAATCCTTCCAATCAAACATGCTCCAATTGTTTAACCAAACATCAAATTAATAATTTTATTAGACTATTAGTCTAATCCCAAGTTCATATCCACCCAAACAAACATGACCTATAAGTATAAACAAGGGCCAAGTGGGTCAGAGTGACTCAGATCATGACCAAGGCATCGAAGTCAGAAAATGGATTAAAAAATGGCCCAAAATAGAGTTATGGACTGTAGTTTCTGGACTCCCCAAATGGGACCTGTGTTGTGTTTGCCTTTGCGTTTGGTCTAAGAAGAATAAGGCATGTATCCATGCGTCTTCCTTTCTGTCACCATCTCTACCTCCCTCCCTCTCTCTCTCTCTCTCTAGAAGACTTTTCTCTCTCTAAAATACCCTGCTTATAAGTAAGGCCCCCCAACTTTTCTTCTCTACCTTGCCTTCACATTTCCAAACCCAAACTTTTCTCCAAAGCTTTGATTGCTTCAACTTTTTCAAATATAATAATATTTGTTGCCAGCTATGGCAGCTGCTGGTAAACTCTCTGTCTCTTCGGTGATAATCATGGTGATGGTGGTAGTGTTAGCAGCCACCATTTCCAACCCTGTTTCTGCAGATCCAGATCTGCTTCAAGACGTTTGTGTTGCTGATCTCAATTCTGGTATTGACTATCAAAAACTACTTTTTATTCATACTCATAATTGAGCAACACTTTTTTGGTATCAAATGCTTAGTTGAGTTAGTACGACTGAGCGTTTGACACTTTTTTGGGTTCAGAAGTCAAACGTCATCTTAAAAATTCAGAGGTACAATCACATGGGTTACGGTCAAGTTTGTATCAAACACAATCTTGGTTTTCCCCCAAAGTCTGCAAAAAGTTCTCATCAATTGGTCAATTATGCTAAGATTTCTATCAATTTTGTCTGTGGTTTGCTTATTTATTGTTTGCCTAGTTCATAGGCTTAGCTGGTGATCTTTAAACCTGGAGTTTGATGAGGATATTTGAGACTTTGTTCTGACTAATTTTTGATCTGTCTTAATTAATCCTTATACATGTATTCTCCGTTCTAAATATATTGAATAATTATTAAGCACATATCTTGATTAAGTAATTCATAAGATTCGAAATCATACTCAACTTATCAATATATTAATCCTTTTTGGCCATGTTTGATTCACAATACTAATAGTGAGGTATTAATAATCCTATCAAATTAGTGTGGTATTAACTATCCCACCCCTACCTCATTACTAATTAATCCTTATACATGTATTCTCCGTTCTAAATATATTGAATAATTATTAAGCACATATCTTGATTAAGTAATTCATAAGATTCGAAATCATACTCAACTTATCAATATATTAATCCTTTTTGAGTTTTCATTCTTCATTAAATCCTAACAATAGAGCTAAATTTATTTATTTTTATTTTTATCTTTTTTTTTGGGGGGAGGGGGCAAACTAAGCATATGTTTATACACATTTGTTTGTGATTTTACAGCTGTGAAAATGAATGGTTTTGCATGCAAGGCAAACTTCACCGCAACAGATTTCTTCTTTGAAGGGATAGCCAAACCAGGCCTAACCAACAACTCAATGGGTTCACTAGTGACTCTAGCCAATGTTATGAAAATCCCAGGGCTTAACACCCTGGGTGTGTCGATGGCTCGCATCGACTACGCCCCGGGGGGCCTCAACCCGCCCCACACCCACCCGCGTGCAACCGAGATCATCTTCGTGCTCGAAGGCGAATTGGATGTTGGGTTCATCACCACTGCCAATGTACTTGTTCCTAAGTCATTGAAAAAGGGTGATGTTTATGTGTTCCCCAAAAGTTTGGTTCATTTCCAGAAGAATAATGGGAAAGTTCCCGCCGCTGTGATCGCTGCCTTCAATAGCCAGTTGCAGGGCACTCAGGTCATCGCCACCACGTTGTTCGCCGCTACACCGCCGGTGCCGGATAATGTGTTGGCTATGGCTTTCCAGATTGGTAACAAGGAGGTTGATAAAATTAAGTCAAAGTTTGCACCAAAGAGTTAAGGAGAGGGTACATGGAGTGGTGGTGTGTTGTTTTATTTTATTTACTGTCTATTGATAAAAAAATTGTGAGGGAGAAGAAAAAAAAAATCTGTCTTCTGTATGTGAAAATCCAGAAAATGTAGTATTCCATCTGTGAGATGCTGTTGTTTTAATTACCCAGAAATAAGACAGGAGAGATTTTCATGTTGGTTGTCACTATTACCCACTGTGGCTTTTCGGATTTTATTTATTTATTTTGCTTACAATAGATAGAAAGGAAACTACAAAAAAAAAGAAAAGAAAAAAACAAGTGCATTTAGAGTGTTAAAACTCAAGTCTCTGGAGCATTTCATCTATTAGATCAATCTCTTGGTCATTTCGTTTTGGGAAATGAGATATTATTTATTAAAATATTAAATAAAAAAAAATATATTTTCTAATAAGAACAATTTAAAATGATTACAACTTTTATAAAAATGTATGTGAAAATTTTGACATAATGTACAACTTTCACTAACATTTTTATAAAAGTACAATGGGTAAACTACACTTACCTCCCCTTCTCGTTTCTAATAATTATAGAGATCTCCTTTGTAGTTTCAATAATTATAGAATATTTTTACTTTTGAAATTATTATTAAAATTTTCTCACTGTTAATCTACTGTTAATTTAATTAACAGAATATGATGACATTATGCTGACATCATGTACTATGAGTAAAAAATTTTAAGATTGCCCTCATATATTCAAATAGTAAATTTCACTCACCTCCTCTGAGGCTTTACAAAAAATTAATAAAGATCCATACATTATTTTAATAATGTTAAACAAAATTATTAAATTCTATACAATATTTAAAAAAGTTTTAAATTGTTAAGACAAGCATATATATAGTAGAATAACCAAACATTGCCTTATCTAGAAGAAAAAAAAAAAAAAAAAAAAAAAAAAAAAAAAAAAAAAAAAAAAAAAAAGGCTAATAAACTGATCACCATTAAACCTTATATTAGATTAAATATAATCATTTATTTGAAAATTACGAAACAAAGTATAAAAGAAGTTTTATTTTTTAAAAAGGCCACCAATTTTGTAAATAATTATTTTGAGAAATTAGAGTTTGAATAAAAATTTAAAAATACATACAGGTATTTGATTTTTTTTTCATATGAAAATACATATTTAGAGAAATTATCCCTCTCTTTCCATTTTCTTTATTTTATTTCTTTCATTTTTATTTCTATTTATTTTCTTGTTCATTTTTTCATAGTGTCATTGCAGCTAATTGTAACGCCATATAATATATTATTGTTATTATTATTATGATTATTATTATTATTTGTTCTCTTCTCTATGTTTTTTCCTAAATTTTTTTCATCATCTTTTCTCTTCCATCAATGTTAGTATCACCCAATACTAACCATAGCAACTTCCGAAACATGAATTTTTCTTTTGTTTTGTAAACATATTTGTGTATTAATATTTTTTTTAAGAAAAATAAACATAATAACATTTCATATTTATAATAAAAAAAATTGACTTGAAAAATTGACAAATGTTAGCTCATAAATATATTAAAAAAAATTATCATTTTATCTTTTCACAATCCTATATTCTTCTCAAAATTTAATCATCATTAAAATAAAATAAAATAAAATAAGTCAATATTTCTCACCTTAATAATAAATTTTTTAAAAATAAATATAAACGTGAAAAAATATCTAATCACGTTACAATAAATTACAATTAGATGATAGGGAATGAAAGATAAATAAATTATTTGAGAATTATAAACTATTCAAATTTGTTATTTCTTACATCTAATTAAAATAGAATTTTACTTCAAGAAATAAATTATTTGAAAATAACAAAATACTCAACTAATTTGTTATTTATTACATCTAAAATTTATATCTCCATCTTTGTTTCTTTCATTTAAATTATTTTTATTAAATTAAATCTCAAAATTAATTCAAATAAGAAACATGGATATTCTTTCTTAATTTCATTAATGGTGGATTTTTTTATTTTATTTTTAAACTTATAAAAGTTTAAAACTATAGTGGAAAAAAAAAAAATACAAAGTCAAGGAAATATATTAAAAAAAAAATTGTGAGAAATAAAATGATAATTTAATATATATATGTATGTAAATTACAATTAAAGGATTATGGTCATTTTCACAACCAAATTAACATCGTTTGGCTTAAATTAATGGGAGGGGAAAATCTTAACAATGTCAAAAAAAAATAACAGAGGTTTCTGTAATTATTGAAATTACAGGAGAGATCCATGTAATTATCAAAAACCTTAGGGGAGGTGAGTATAATTTACCCAAGTACAATTATTTTGAATTGTTTTTGCTAAAATACAATTTTCCTTCAAAAGAAAGTTATGTATATATCTTAATTAGGTAATTTGGAAATGGGATCTCAGTTCTCAAATTGCTTAGCAGATAAATTGTATTGAATGCTACTTTTGACTGGTTAAAATTTGGTGGTATGTTACTTTAGATTGGTTAAATTAGGATCATAAAAATGGCTAGAGGGTCCACCATCAGCAGGTGAACCTTAAAACACTTTTACCAGTCAGTTGAATATAAATGGCTATAGGGCTTAGCTTTTTTTTTTTTTTTTTTTTTTTTTCCATTTCCTGAGCTGTATATATATATATATATGTATATATATATATATATAACTGGCCTTAACTTTTTAGGTAAGGACAAAAACAAGCATTCTTCATTGGCTTAATCATTACACAATTGTATTACTTTTGGACATAACCAGAAACTTTAATGGGACACAATATATCCTTAATTTAAGTATTAGCCCAATGTTGCAACTTGTGCAATTACAAAATCCTTAATTATGGAAATAATTATCTTTTATTCTGATGCAGTGCTGACTTTTATGCAGATCTAATAGTAGAACATAAATGCGTATGTGATTCAAAAAATGAAAATACAATAAATAAATTATAAAATATAATTGAATATACATATAATCATGTGACATTTCAGACCTACTTAACTTACTGGTTCTGAATTATTCCCTAATATTTTATGAATTATATAATCCTCTTACACTTTAATGTCAATCATATTCTATTAGGTCTCGTTCGGGAACAGGCTAATTTAGTAACTTTTTGACTATTTAACTAAAATATGAGCTAAAAAAAATTAGCTTGTTTGGGATGACTTTTTAGATTTTTACGAAAAGATGTGCAAAAAGTAGAGAGAAAAGAGAATCTTTGACTTTTTGGTATGAGTTGTTGGCTTTTTTATTAATTTAGTAACTTTTTGACTAAAATGGAGGGTTCCCAAACGAGGCCGTCAATTATCAATTATCAAACCAAATTTTACTAATGAGATTAATAATTCTCATATTCTATTTATATATATATATATATATATATATACTAGTAGGTAATCTGTCCTATGCATGAGAATTTGTTTTAATAATAAAAAAATTGATTTGGAGTGTTAATACTTTATGTGTAGAAAATTTTAACAATTAAAAGTTAAATACAAACAGATTTGCTAATGTTTGATGAAATTTTTTGTCATTTTGTATGATCCTAAGTAAAAAGCTCATAAAAACGATTTCTTTCAAAATTATTAATTAAAAAAAAATGGAGTGTATTCTCAACCTTAAATTAAATCCTCATTTGTGTTAATCAAATTTACCAAAAATCAAGAATTCCACTTGTATCAAAATATTTTTTTCTAAAAAAAAATAAAAGCATCAAAAAATTCTATAATATACAAAGTATTATGGTTCTTTCAAAATTATTAATTAAAAAAAAATGGAGAAAATTTTCAACCTTAAATTAAATCCTCATTTGTGTTAATCAAATTTACCAAAAATCAAGAATTCCACTTGTATCAAAATATTTTTTTCTAAAAAAAAATAATGCATCAAAAAATTCTATAATATACAAAGTATTATGGTTATTCATCGAAAAGGTCTTTACTAATTTCTTATGTCTTTGGCTATGTTTAAAGTGTATGGTGTTTTTTTTTAATATATATGTTTTTCATATTCTCAAGAAAAGAAGAAAAAAAATGGTGTATCGAGTTTTTAATTAGATATGTTTCAAATGGTATTTAATTATGATCTATTATAATATTTTTATATAACAATATTTAAGTATTTTATTACACGAAAAAATGCTTAAAGTGGGTTGACTCAAATGAAATCAAGCACAAAATCTCTATAATCTTAATAATTTATATTCTCAAAAAGGTTCTGATTAATTATCATATATATATAAGTAGTGCTTTTCTTTTGTTTAGATGACACATTTTAAATTTTTATTTAAAAATTATTCAAGAAACATCAATATGTGCCTTAAATGTGTACAATTATTTTCGATGAATCATTATTCTTTAAAATAATATTCCGCACTATTTATAATTTGACATTTGTCAATTTTTTTTCTAAAAACTTAACAAAAAAAGTATTGAGATTCATTATTTTAATCAATCAATATCAAATTAGATTACACATGTATGTAAATCATTTCTACAAATATGATGTCTGATATAAAATTACAATGGAGTTAACTTTAATCAATGTAATGATATTTTATATTATGATATGTGTTACAAAAGAATAATTTTAATTTAAAATAAATTTTAAATTTATATTATTTATTTTAATAATCTTAGCATTATCATTCTATAAAAGTGTTAATTGAATATTTATATATAATAAATTTGGTTAAATTATTTTCTTATTTTGATGATTTTAGTTCTATTGTGCTATGAAAGTGTAATTATCATATAATGATTTTATATGATATATATTAAATCATAAAATAGTAAAATAAATACTCATTTTGATATTAAAAATAATAATTAAATTAGAAAGAGAATTAGTAATATAAAATTAAAAGTGATTCTAATTACTTATTTTCATTTTTATTTTTATTTGGAAAATAAAAATATGTATAACTAGAATTATACAATTTTTTTCAAAAGATTAAATATAAATATATTGTGATTCGATTAAAATGAAAATATATAAATTAATTATGTAGAGTATTGATTTTTTCTTTAATATTCTTTTTGAATTATTCATACATATTGTATATAGATATATAAAATTTAAATTAAATATAAATGTTTTGTAAGAAATAATTTCATGTTAGATAAAAAATTAATTATAAATTAATATCAAGACATCAATAAGATAGACAAAAAATATAAAGTATATAAA